TAAGATCAACTTCAATGACATAAAATTACTAATGAATAGTATGACAAATTTTAAAATATGCAAAACTGCATTTGAAGAGAGGCTCTGGAAGGAAACACGACACTGATGGAGGTGGAGCCCGTTAGTCTTATGGCTTCTTATGCATTTAGACACTAGTCACACTGACTATGCAATGCTAACATGTCCCATTATCAGGAATACATTTTCAATACAGCTTACTTCTGTCAAGGGTATTTCTCACTTAATAGTTTGTGTCACTTTAATTCCTTACATGACTTAAGCAAGCATGAAAGAATAATTTTCATTTTAATCGTTAAAAAAAGTACCAGATTTCTCCCCAAAGACAGCTTCTACATTGCTCCCCTGGGAGCACACTGCAATACTATAGAGAGAGCACTTGAGAAAATTTTATATGAGGGCATGGCAGTTGTAATCAAAGGTATTACTAATCATGTTATCAACTTTATTTACTATACTTTAGACACACTTAATTCTAATTAAATAAAGGGTAATTGTGTATCAGATAAATGTTAATAATAAAAGACATGAAAGTAAGTAAAATATGTCCTGAATAAAAGCCAATAATGAAATGTAGGTGTGTGATTCATCATGATAGCAAGAATATTAAACAAATATCTAAAGCTATTTATTTACTTTCAGGATACACTTAACAGGGTAGTGGATGGAAGAATGAAAGAAATAATATTAAGAATATTAATAGCAACTAAATGGAAGTTAAGATGTGGTGAGCTCAAGTTAATAGATGAGAAATAACCAGGAGGTCTCCTATAAAGAAATATATTTTAATCAGTGAGAAATTAAAGTGGAAACAAGTCTCTTTATAACTATTGAGTGTCAAATTCAGAGCATAATTAAAATATGAATGCAACCAGTAGGATTTAGTCACAGTTTTTTTTCTCAGAAATATACACTGCCGTAGCATTAACATAGCTAACTCTTATACACCCACATTCAATCTGCATGTTCTGACCTCTTGCTTCATCTAGAATGCATAAAGTATTGAAGAGTAAAATGCTCTACAGCAGAGATTGCTGTGAGTGTTTGTATGTGCAGGATCGAGCGTTGTGACCAGCAAGGTGCATGAAGTGCATTTCTACACAGAACCATACTGATCTCACTATCTAAATCAAATCACCTGAAACTTCATGTGCGAGAAAGAAAGTGATAAATATATTCCAGTGACTGTTAGTTTTAATTGTCAACTAGACACTGTCTAGAATAACTGGGCAGAGAGTCTGAGTAAGAGGCTGTGAAGATCAGTCTGTCTTTGGAGCATGTCTTGGAGGGAATTGTCTGAACTGTCTCAAATGATGTGGGAAGACCCAGCCTCAACTTGTGCAGCAGCACCATTCCTGAGTTCAGGACCCTGGACTTTATGAGGGCAGAGAAATCTGTCTGGGAACATGCATGCATTCCTTTCTTGCTTCTCTTTCCTGCAAATGTGGTGTGATTAGCTGCTTCATTTTCTGATTCTTTTTCTTATCTAATATGATGGACTGTAACTTGGAACTGTGAGATAAAATAAACCCTGCCTATTTTAAGTTGCCTTTGTCAAGCTATTTTATCACCAAAACAAAAATAGAAATAAGGTAGTCCCCAAACTGACAGGGCTATCTTCATTAAGAAGCAATTTTGCTAGGGGTCATCTATTTCATTGGGTATTGTATGACTAACAATAGTCATAAAGACTAACGTGTTCAGTATGTTTCAAACTCAGTCATTTCTCAGAAAGTACATTCCAAATTGAATGCCACAAACTTAAAAGATCATCACTATAGTTGATTGTGTAAATTGGTGGCATTAAACATATTTCTTCCACCTGTGTTTGAGACAGAGGTGCTAAACTCTATTTCTCCAAGATCAAGAGGGATAATAAATGACAACTGACCCTCAGGCTTAGAGTCAGAGACACAACCATAGGAGTTACAATGGTGGTTCTTTTGTCTCTTGTATATTGGTGGTTCTTGGGTGCAAACAAGAAGAAAGGCTGGGATTTTGCACTAAGAGTTTTCAATAACCACAATTTCCAAAATTTGTTTTAGATATCTCATTTCAGTGTTGGTGATTTTCTGCAAGTGTGAACCACTAAAACTAAGCAAATAAAACTCATTTAAAGAACAGTCTTTGGCACACAATTTGCTAGATCATGGTCTCTTGCTTAAGAATCTGATTACTGCATTGTACAGACACCTGACATGCTAAATGCTATCAAAGAACTTTACTGATTAGAGAAAACTAAGTACTCCCAAACTCCCTTTTATATACCCCTTTCTTTTTACAACTGAAAATACTAGAGCCAAAGTACAGTAGTGTCAGAATAATAGAGTGTGGTGTAGTATTGTCAGTATACATTTTACTTTAAACATGACTGAGTTTAGGTCACAAGTTCAAGTTGGTGTACAGTGATTGCAGTTGCATACTTGTATTTCAGAATGATGACTAGCCAATTATAGTGACTACAAAGTTTTGTCATAAGAGACACTTTAAGTTAAGCATTCTACTAAAACCTCAACTTCACTCTGATCACTTGAGCTGTTCAGAGTTCTGTTAATCAAGTGGGGGAAAATCTATCTTCCATGCATAGAATGACTTATTTGTTTGCATGAGTGTGAGAAAAATGATCACATCTGTGCATAATAGATTAAAAATACAAAGTTCACACCACAGCTCTGCTGATGAAAATTACCTGCCTGCTGATACAACAGTGCCCATGAATTAATTAACCTTTTGCCAAAAGAATCTTCAAACTTCAGCAGACACTGAGGTTTTGCTCTTCCTCTTTCATTATTTTAGAAAATGAAATCATGTTCAGTCAGGAAGGAAAATAAATAAAAGTAAGAAATTTGATTGGTTCTCATACTATTTCAGCAAAACCACACAAAGTGTGGCTAAAACGTAGTGGGTTAGACGACTCGTCTTTTTATTTTAGTTAGCAAAAGGTGAGCATAATGGCTGCGTCCTAAGTCACTTTTCTTTCTTTTATGAAGGAGATCAGTTAATTGTCACTAGGAGTGTTGACTACCTTAACTTTACCTTTCCAATTGCAACAATGAAGTTAAATAAACTATGCCTTCACAAATGAATTTTCAGTAAGTTTAATAAAACATATTTATACACACTTCATTTTCAATTGAATAAATTCATTAACAATATTTAAGTGTGTTTATGAAGTGTTTCAATGGTTTTTACTTGGGACAAAAACTCAAAAATTGTCTAAGTTAAATAAAACTAGAACCCGGGACAAGAGGATTGTTAATAAATCAGAGTTACTATATTTCCTCAGCCTATTAATGCAAGGAACAAGGATGGGTAGATGTGAAGATTATAAAGCACTTAAGAATTGCCAGATTATATACTCTAAACACTGACAGGTCTTATGCAAATATCAGTGGCCACACTTAATTTTTTCTCACTGCAGTAGTATTTTTCCTAAAAATGTTAACAATATTTACTTTTTAAATTTTCAGTACCATATAATTAGAGTTGTCTCTTTTACCATCCAGTATTTTATTTTAATGCATTAGATAAGTATAAAGTAACCTTACACCCATCACACAGGCCATCTATAGATTAGGCCTTATATGGATGTTGTTTATGAAGATTACAATATTTTCCAATTTTTTTTCAAGAGAAAGGTGATTTGTTAAACTCATCTTTAAAGAGATAGTCTAGTAAAATACTTCTTTAAATACTTTTTAGACAATTAATTTTTGGATGCAGGCAAGAGACCTACAAGAGGATAGAGATATTTTAGTGTTATTTAAATGAGTAATTTTGTAGAAAATGATGTTGGGTCTGTTCTGTATGTTAAATGTGTTGCTCTGATGGTTAATAAATAAAACACTGATTGGCCAGTAGCCAGGCAGGAAGTATAGGCAGAACAAGGAGAGAGGAGATTTCTGGGAACAGGAAAGCTGAGGCAGAGAGACGCTGCCAGCCGCCACCATGAGTACCAACATGTAAGGTACTGGAAAGTCATGAGCTGCATGGCAACTTATAGACTAATAGATATGGGTTAATTTAAGATAGAAGAACTAGATAACAAGAAGCCTGCTATGGCCACACAGTTTGTAAGCAATATAAGTCTCTGTGTGTTTACTTGGTTGGGTCTGAGCAGCTGTGGGACTGGCGGGTGAGAGAGATTTGTCCTGACTGTGGGCCAGGCAGGACTGGAGAAAACTCCAGCTACAGATCTCTGCTTCAGAAATAAGAGTAAGGTATATTTCACTGATAAACAATTCAAATCAAGGAGTCATTTAGTTTTGAACAAAAAAAATTGGTATCTGTTAGTTCACAAAAACTTTTCAAATGACTATTTCTATGATTGCTAAAGGAAGATAGCTTTGTAAGAATGGTAGATTTAGAATACTTACCAAAACATTTTGGTCATTCCATGTTTGAGAACAAATCCATTATAATATATGCATTTCATATTTACTTGAAATATCAAGACATTCAGAAATCATAAAGAATTTTATTTTATACACACATATATGATTCTTTTACTATAGGAAACTAGGGTAGAACACAAAGACAAGATTTTTTGTCTTTATTTTAACAAAGCACCTGGATTGAGAAATGGTAGACTCTTGGTTTTCCGGCAGTTGATATTATATACACATACACATACACATGTATATATATATGTTATATGTATGTGTGTATGTTATATATACATACATACACACACATATATGTATGTATATATATATATATGTGTGTACATATACATACATATAATCACAAGCCTAAGGCATCCAAAGATACCTGGCATTTATATCAATACACAAGTTTGCCCATGATAATTTTAACCATATTCAGTATTGCCATTGATTCCTACATGATTGAGTAAAAGGTAAAAATGTACATCAATAATAAATATTTCTAAGGATCTTTAAAAATTGAGAACAGATTTATAATGTCCTTTGGTTAACGGAAGAATAAAAATATGACTCGTTGGGAAATAATGCTCTACACACCTGACAGGTAGTGTTCTGTCTCCTTTTCTCCTATCCATTTCTCTTTGAGGAACAGGATACCATCGGAAATTTAGCTTCCAGTTAAAACCACCATAAGTCATGTCTGACCCAGCCATGTATTCGAAGGTATCATCGCTAATAACATCAATAATAGGGCACACAACTGTTTTTCTGTAGAAAAAGAAAACCCAATTCATATATAAATGATAATTTACATTCACTTCTTCAAGTTGATTATAGATGATATGATAACATTTAATTTTTTATGACTCCACTGTCCTTTATTTTATCCCCTTTCTTTGCAGAACCATTTCCTCTGTCACTATCTTTCTTCCTCACCTTTACCTTACTGTTGTGATATGAAATCTAATCAAATATTCTAATTGACCTTCAAGCTGACTTTAAAATGCATTCTAACTCCAAATTCAGCAGGATGAACATGGTCTATTTCTCATAAACTTCTACCCACAGCATGATTAGTCAAGTTGCTCTGATATTATGCATCATTTTAGCTATAACCCACTAAAAAGCAATAGCATAGAGAGATGGAAGATATATGAGAGAAAATTAGATCTGGAGGTTTGCATTTCAAATAGATTAAGTTAGTTTAAAGAGTACAGGGAAACTTGCCACAAAGAAAACTCCTTTTAGGAAAAAACAAACAGTATCAATGAAAGTCATGTTCTATAGGTACCAGGAAACAGTTTCTGGGAAGGAGGATACCAGGGCCCTGACAACTTCATCAGCAAGCTGTCAGGAAACTAAGAGTCTCTTATTGTCTCAGTCCAGGTGCTTTGTTAAAATAAAGACAGTAACTCTTGTCTTTTTGTTCAACCCTAGTTTCCTATAGTAAAGGAATAGTTAAGATGTTTCAGGGGCTTGTGAGTCTATTTAGGGTAAGAATGTTTCACTTGGTTATTTTATTGGGTAAATTGTTTTAACTGTGTTGTGGCTCCTTTCATTCTTTGTTTTTTTTTTTTTTGGTTTTTTTTTGGTTTTTTTTGTGTGTGTGTGTGTGTGTGTGGCTTTAGTGGTCTGCTATGGGACCAAGAGTCAATCATCTCCACAAGGAAATGTTCAAGTTGACTCAAGGTGGCATTGATTGTAGCTAATTCTGAAGAACAGAGTGATTGTATGCATAAGTCACACATAGGTGTAGCAAGCCAAACATGACTTCAATTATATTTTATTTGGTAACTGCAATATTACTGCCACTCATTGTCATGTGGGTTGTATATGTCACAAATTTGGGCATGGCCTGAAGTTCTCTGAAGTCAATAAGCTTCATCTACCCTTAGGAAAGCTTCTTGGTGAATCTGGACACAACCAAATCATGACATCTCTTTCTTTACTGGATTTAATAACTTAACATTGAAGGGGAAGAAATCAGATCTAATAATCTCAAGCATATTTTACTGTCTTCTTATGGCAATGCAAAAATTTATAACCAGGAAAAAGACTCATTATATACAAATATGATGCAAATGAATTGTTAGAATAAAAATAGATGGCTTATGCATGGCTATAATGAAACATTATATTAACAACTTATTAAGTTGAATATGAAATGCATGTTGAAAAGAACAGCATAATGTACAAAATGTTGCCAGAATTTATGTTGAAGGTATTCTAAGTTCATTTTGCTTGGTCAGTCTCACTGTTCTGTGGTCACAGTCCAACACACAAAATGTTAGTAGCTGTGTACTGTATGTACTCCCTTGACTAAGAGGTTCCCACTGCTTTCTTGACCTGCTGTGGTTCATTTTGCTGAGAGCCTCCATCTGTCTTCATGGAAAGCACCAGCTCCCGCCATTTATGTGATGTGGCTGAGCTAGCTTACTTTACACGGTCGTTGTCTGGAACAACTAATTAAAAATTTAAATTTTGGGATCTTCTACTGCACATGAAATGGCTATGCAAGTGATGTGCTCTACAATGATTTATCATAATACATAGCATTCAATGTTTGTTCTCTTCATTAGGTACTAAGAATTACACTAATTTATCACCCATGTTTATGAATAGCTACAAAATGTCATCATCATTAGGAAGAACTGCAGGTATGTGTGAAGGTTCTTCACTTCTGCAAAGTTTAATTTTTCAAATTTTAAAGTTGACAAGTAGAGAAAGAATATTGTTTAAATAATTATACTTTTCTCTATTTGTGTTTTTAATAGTGGCATTATTTCAGGAAGGAAGGAAGGGGAGAGAGAGAGAGAGAGAGAGAGAGAGAGAGAGAGAGAGAGAGAGAGAGAGAGAGAGAGAGAGAGAGGAGAGGATAGTTTTTTTTCTTCCAGGTGAGGTTGAACTAGACTGAGACCCCTCGGGAGTCAGAGTCAGAATGCACGGGAAGAGTGAAGAGATCAGTGCTGAGGGAGTGAGGAGAACTGGAGTGTTCACTGAACTGCCAGTAACATAAGCAAGTTGGTAAGAACATCTGCAGTCCCTGCACAGGGGAGCTGGGCGTACCAAAGGTGTTTTGAAAATTGCCTACAACATATGCTGCCAGACTAGATTGATTTACTTCACCTGTAAATGCTCAAAACATTTTTCATTGAATCATTTGATTATTTCTTAATCAATTGCCTATGCTCAACATGAATCAGTCCGATTTTCAACTTAAAAATGATAAAAGCTGCTTTTTTCAAAGCATGTGAAATAAACCTTCTGAAAATAGAACCTTGGACGAGGCATTGTGATGGACAGCTGGAGCTGCCCTGGAAGGTCCAGGTGTAAGCCTTGCAGGCTTAACATGAGGCTCCCTACCTGTCTTCCTTTATTCTCGCCAGCAAGGGCTCCAGCCATCCTAAGGTGCACTCACAGTGTGCGTCCAGAAAAGTTATGACCTGTCCTTTTGAAGCAGCTGCTCCACGGAGACGGGCACGTATTAACCCAGAGCGCTCTTCCATCCTGATAATTTTTACTGGCACTTCTAAAGTTTTCACGTAGTTCTCTAATGTCAACTTGAGAAAATCTGTAACATGGAACAAGAATGAATTAGGAAGATTTGGAGCTCTTTTAGAACAAAATTGGTGTAACTAGTAGAGATCTCATCAGTTAATTAATGTTACATATCAAGTCAAACATATTCTTAGTATTAACTAGTTAGGAAGCAATAAAGCACTTTAAAAAATCATTTTGGCTGATTTCTAAGGATAGTTAGTGCCAAATGGGATATAAAAATAAACTGAAAGTATTTAATTGTTCTCAGATTTGAATGTGCATCAACAATATATACTATATATGAAATGCATATGTGACTATATGGTATGTATCGATTTTATAGGTAGTTGATTATAAAGCAGAAGATAGATCATTGCCCACTACCTTCTGATAATAAAAAGGGTTCCAAATTACAGGCATGGAAGCATAGTGTATACCTCTTTCACTGGCATCATCGACCAAGATGACCTCAGAGAGCAGGTAGTGTGGAGAGCGATTTATAACACTATAGACAGTTCTAAGTAGAGTGCTCCAAGCTTCATTATGGAACACAATGACTACACTTGTGTTTGGCAGTTCATCAGGGTAGACTTTCGTCTTGCATCTGGGAAAGAGCAAAGAAGAGTGATGGTAGTAATAAATTCATGTTTCATCTTGATCTTCCTCAGTAGGAATATTCATCACAATGCAACTTCAGATTTCAAAGTCCTTTACCAAGGAGCTAATTTATGAATATCTGAAATAATTTTCCTTTTTATAAGTGCTGTGAGTAATCACTTGGCCTTTTGAAAGTTAAATATGCATAATTACCAATATTTTATTTTAACTCCTACAGGGAACAAAGCAGCATGATTTCCATAATTCTAAGAAAACCAAAATAATATTCTTAAACTGTCAAAAAATTAAGAGCACCAAATACAATAGAGGCAGACAAATTCAGACATTAGAAACAATTTTTATTCTTTGTTTTACCAAAAAAAAGAACCATAGCTATAAAAGCTGTATGAGTATAAATAGACAATAGTAGGTAGAGTTCAAAGCATGTAAGGCTGAGATTATTTTTCTCTTTGGAAATTCTGATACATAAGCTTTTCACTTGAGAATGTACTAAATTATTCCTACTTTCAGGGGATGGGTAGTACTATGGCCCCTACAATTTCTTGATACTCTAGACATAAATGAAAAAAATTTGGTTACCAGTACTTCCTAAACTTTACTCTGTAAAACATCTGCAAAGGGTTTGTTAAAACACAGATCTAATTTCCTAAGTCTAGGATGGAGCCTGAAGTCTTACTTTGCTGTTGACCTCAGAAGCAGATGGCTCAGTAAGCAGCTGAATGAAAATTATCATTAATTTTACAATTTACTATTTTAAAAAAAATTTTAAATGTGCTTACAAATTCAGATGAGCTGAGATCTTACTCCACAGGTCATCAATTGAAAAATGTGTGATTGACAAACAATTTGTGAAATTTTCTAAGTAGGTGTCCATAAATAGAACAGATGGTTATTTCAACTTTTCAACCTGTAGCTATTTGTGTCCTGTAATTTTAAACCCTTTTGACTATGTGGTGGACTTCTGGAGCAGGAGTAGAAGTTTATTCACCCTAAGCTATTTTTAATGTAAAATATTCTAAAGAGGTAGAAAATCAAAACAGTTCCATGAAATAAAATGAACCATGTATCTCCTGCCATTTATGATAATGTATTACACAATGCAGCATTGTTAGATTTAGTTGTTTTTTCACAATGAAATAAAAAATTTTCAATGAAATATACGAGGTGGAATTACAAAATAAAATAAAACTGAGCATGCCTGTTGAGACCTTTCTTGTTTCAAACAATCTAAAGTGTCACCCAATAAGCAAAATCTTCTAAAATGTAGTCAGGTCAGAATATCCATATACATCTTGTCTAACATTTTTATCGTGGGTATATTTGAAAATAAACATCCACTAAGCCCTACATTACAAAAGTTACTACGCATATAAGAAAAAAAGAAGTAATGGATTCATTGCTCTTTCCACTCTGTGGAAATGTTCAAACAGCACCCTTGTCCTTCAGCATCTTTCCAGTGCTATCTCCAGGCAGTTCATCACTAAATGAACTAAGAAAGCCATCTCAGTAAGTGAGAAGGGTTTGTTCCACCATTTTCTTCAACCCTTTACTCTCTGCCTCATCAAATCCTCCCATCATATTTACATGCCAAGCACAAAATATGACAGCATAATCATTACTATAATTAAAGTAAATTTATACAAACAATGTGAAGAGAGTCCAACTGCTGCTACTGGCTTAACCCAAGACTCACAATCAATGAATGCTACCCAGTGTTGGTGGGGTTTTGTTGTTGTTTGTTTGTTGGTTGGTTGGTTTGTTTTTTTAAGTGATGTGTTTTAAATCAGGATTCTCTGTTTGCAATTTTAAATCCAACTCAGAAAATATGGATTAACACACAGTAATCTTAATAAATAAAATCAGCTGAGAATGATAGACTGCGTCTATTATTGTGGTATCTATGAGGCACAAGCAAGAGGATTGCCCTGAGTTGGAGGATATCCTGGGCTAACTACACAGTAACATATAGGCCATCCTGGTCTACATAGCAAAATCCTGTCTCAAACTACAATAACAAAAATAGCAAAACTTAAAAGAGACATATGTTTCCTTTTTTAACTTTAAACAACTTTCATTAACTTAATTTTGTGGTTGAAAAACAATCACTAATGTTAATTCTATATTTATTATATCTATGGTTTACACAATGAACCAACCTAATCTTAATGCAGATACTATATTAATGGAGAATCTCCACTGTCTCATTCAAACTAGAACAAAATAAAATGTAGCTAAAATGTTTATCAGTTCTTTCACTTCACTATAGAAGAACATTAGCTAACCATGGGAAATGAGTACTTTAGTTATGGCGGTGAGTGTTACCATGATCTGTTGAAAGATGGTGATCACACATTACAAAGCGGATCTCTATGCTTGATGTTATATAAGGTGTTTGATTTTAAGTTCTTAACACCAACGGAAACCATAACTACATGATTTAAATATTTAATTTGCTTGAATGTGGCAACCATTTTAGAATGTTTATGTATACCAAACCATCAAGTTGTAAACTTTAAATCTATATAATTTTTATTTGGCAAGAATACTCAAAAAACTACAGCAGAGGGCAGGGGTCATTCAGCAGAAGAGGTGGGTTTTTGCTTTCTTTTATTTTGTCTTTTTGTTTTGTAAAGTGTTAATTTATAGAAATTAAACATTTTTATGTGAGTTTATCCAGTTATCACAAATACACAGATTGGTATCCATAAGAGTTGTAATTCCACTGCTCAACCACAGGCAATAGCTGCCAGAAGACCAGAGAGCTTGCTCAAGGACCTTTCCTGCTGTCTGTTACCCCAGACACAATTCTCAGAGTTACCCCTAGCACTGCAAGAGAACATGAGCTGCAGCTTCCCCTCCACTCTGTGCATGCCTCCTCTGGATGCCATTGACCATTTCCACTGCCCTTCTCTTCCCTAGTCTTCAGCATCAGCAAACATTCCCCTAACTCCCACCTTCCACCTACATGAATTCACCAGCTGAGCAGCCCAGTAAAATAGGTAACACTCAGACAACACAGTCTCTGAAATTCCAGAGAGGAAACAGAAACCAAGGAACAAAAATATGACCCTACCAAGACAAACCCAGAAATCAGCACCTAGATCTATAATCACCCCAAACACAAATGCCTAGACTCCAGCATAAAAACACAATCAATAACAATCATGGCACTATGTCACAATCAAGAGACCAGCTATCTTACCACAGTAGGCCCTGAATATTCCCACATAGCTGGAGCATTAGAACAACTTATTTGAAGAAGACAGTGATTCTTGAAGATGAAATGTATAAATCCCTTAAAGAAACTCAGAAAAACACAAACACACAATTGGAAGAAATGAATAACTTCCTTAAAGAAAGCCAAGAAAACAAACAAACAAACAAATAAAATTACTGAAGGAAACAAATAAAACTGTTCAAGAACTGAAAGATGAAAATAAAAGTAATAGAAATAAAACCTGAAGGAATTCTGGAAATGAAAATTTTAGGAATGCAAACAGAAACACCAGAGGCAAGATTCACCAAAAGAATAAAAGAGATGGAAGACAGAATGTCAGGCATTGAAAATATAATAGAAGAAATGGATGTACTGATCAAAGAAAATGTTAATCTAAAAACTTTCTGACACAAAACATTTAGGAAATCTGGGACTCTATGAAAATACCAAACCTAAGAATAATAGGAATATAGGAAGCAGAAGAATACCAGCTCAAAGGCACAGAAAACATTTTCAACAAAATCATATAAGAAATTTTCCTAACCTAAAAAAGGACATGCCTATAAAGGTTCAAGAAGCACACAGAACACCAACTAGACTAGAACTGAAAAGAAAGTCCCCTCACCACAAAATAATCAAAACACTAAACATACAGAATAATGAAAGGATATTAAAAGCTGTAGGAGAAAAAGTCCAAATAACTTATAAAGGCAGACCTATCAGAACTAAACCCTACTTCTCAAAGGAGACTCTAAAAGACAGAAGGGCCTGGACAGATGTGCTGCACACTCTAAGAGACCACAGATGCCAGCCCAGATTACTACATTTAGCAAAACTTTCCCTCACAAAAGATGGGGAAAATAAAGTCAAATTTAAAGAATATCTACATATTCAGCCCTACAGAAGTTTCTAGAAGGAAAAACACAAACCAAGGAGTTTAACTACAAACATGAAATAAATAATCATACATCAGCAAAACCAAAAGAAGGGAAGCGTGTGCACATGGGCACACACACACACACACACACACACACACACACACACACACACACACCATCACCATCACCATCACCACAAACACAATCAATAAAAACAAAGTAACAGGAATTAACAATCTTTGTCCATTGATACCTTTCAATATCAGTGGCCTCAATTTCCCATGAAGAAACAGAGATTAACAGAATGGATATGAAAACAGGACCCATCCTTCTGCTGCATACAAGAAACACACCTTGACATCAAGGATAGATATTACTTCAGTGTAAAGAGTTGAAAAAAGATATCCCAAGCAAATTGACCTAAGAAGCAAGCTGTTGTAACCATTTTAATATCTAACAAAATAGACTTCAAACCAAAATAAATCAAAAGAGATAAAGGACACTACATACTGATAATAGGAAAAATCCAGGAAGATGACATTTCAATTCTTAACATCTATGCCCCCAAAGGCAAGGGCACCCACCTTTGTAAAGAAATACTGCTAAAGCTTAAATCACACATTAGCCCTAACATACTACTATTAGTGGGAGACTTCAATACCCCACTCTCACCTATGAATAGATGTCTCACACAAAAAGTAAATAGAGAAATAAATGTTGGAGTTAACTAATGTTATAAAATAAATGAACCTAACAGTTAATTATAGAACATTCTACCAAAACACAAAAGAATATACCTTAATCCCAGCGTCTCCAAATTTGACCACATACTCTAACACAAAGCAAGTCTCAATAGATACAAGAAATTTAAATAATACCCTGCATCCTATT